TTCCATTTGTCGGCTATTTACCTTCGAACACTAGCCAGCAATAATTATAAGCATTTCACGTTCAGTGAACATCAGCTGCGTGCGTACAACAGCTTCCCTCTCTGGTCATCATTAATGAGCTAAAGACAAGATTTTTATTTACACCCTATTTGGTTACTACCAGCACTTTGCTGCTGGTACCTTGCCAGCTAATTTATTTCAGAGTACTAGGAAAGAGGGGGACCATTGACAGCCTTGTCAGTGGATGATTGCTATTGGCATTTGGTATTCTCGAAATACTTCCGAGTGCCTCGGCTTTTCAGAAAGAGTGAACACAAAGGGGATTTTTGACTTTTGGCTAGGACAGTGAAAATGCCCATACTGCGATCGAATAGGGACAAAATTCTAAATCCGAAATTGGATCTTAGCAGCTGCATACTTCCAGCCCTGGAATACTTACAATTCTTGCAACAAGTAATTCAAAATAAAGAAAAATAAAATCCGTCAGGAGGAACTGAGTTTCAGCTAGTTTGTTGGCTTATGCGCTTGCTTAACCCTCCCTCCCTTATCTGGACTAAGTTTGGCCTAAACCTGATAAATAGACAATGGGCACTGATCTAGGAGCCAAACCAAAATTTATAAGCTCAAACTTTAGCCTCCGCCCGAAATGTAAATATCCACTGGTTAGTTTGTTTCCGACACCCTCAGAGACACCCGCCGATTACTTCGCAAAACTCTGGTGTTGAAGATAGTGTTTCCTGGGATTTTCCTTCGATATTAGGGATGGAAGTTTGTTATTTGCTTTTTAATGCGATCTAACGGTGACTGTTGTCTTCTGATCAAATTTTTGCCCTTCTCCGGCGTCCACCTGGCCCAATTCTTGTCCCATGGCTGACTTTTTTATTTTTTATTTTTTGCATCAGTCCCTTCCAAAGCAAGATCCTGGCGCCAGATCCGAAGAAAAACGAGCACCTTCTCTGTTTGGCTTTTCGGCATACATTGACTGTTATTGGCATGCTCTGTTGCGTGCGTCATTTGTCGATGTCGTTTTGGTGCACAGGAAGAGAGGGAGGTATACGCCAAAGCTTACCGATTATCGAAAGGAAGCAAGTCTGCAATTAGCTGAAATCCTTTCCGCTGTTTGGTTTCATGCTCTTTTCTCTCTCCTCCCTCCTTCCTTTCCCTTTTCTCTTTCTGACTGCTTGCTCTCCCGGTCATTTCCATCCGGCAATATCCATCAACTTGAGAGCAATTGCATTAATTTTCGCGCATGAAATGCAAATCTACAGTCTGTTCGATCGGCCGATCTCTATTCCTACAGATGCTTGGCCTTTGCCCGAAAATGCAGAATCAATACAGAGGATGCATCCTGGCAGCAAAAGCTCAAATTTGTGACAAGCCAGCAAATATGCAAATTTTTGACAAATGATTCAGAATTTGAACTCATTCCCATGACATTTCGAATAAGTGAAATCGGGTTGGAAAAGAGGGGAAGTTGAAACGGAAAGGAGGGGAAGGGGCAAACACCATAAGCACAATCCCGCATTTATTTCTGCGAGAATAAATTACACATTTTCACAAATTTAAGTGTCATTTTAGAACTACTTAAAAAACAAAACATTCGCTTTTGCGCAATCGACGTCAACACCCGCTTCCTGGAGGCACTTGCAGGTATCCATGAATCGTGTCGTTGCATCATTATGGAGATCACTTTGACATTTAATCAATGCTGCTTCTGCCTCTCTCGTTGGTTGCTCCAACAGACACCTGAAATTGTCGATCAGGATCATAATTATTTAAAACCCATGAAAATACCTGCAATTATTCAGTCAAAATCGCCTAGGTTGCCCGTTGACGTACAGCTGACTGTACATCTGTAACAACGCTTCTCACGATTTCTTGTCTCCAACTTATTTCTGCTCTCGCTACAACAGCTACTTGTTTGATAGCTTCAGCGT